GGGGGAAAAAAAGGAGGAGGATTGGCAATAGATGTTACCTCAGAGCTGGTCTTCCTCAGCAAAAAGAGGAGGATTAGCACAGATGTTAGCTCGGGGCTGATCTTCCTCACACACACACAAAAAAAATCATGAGCCAGAGTTTTCCTAAAAATCAGGCTTTCTGCCTTATAAATTCAGATATGGCTACCCAGGGTCTGCCTTCCTTGATGGCACCGGGCATGCCTCCTCCCCACGTGTCCCTGTCCCTGTCTGTCTGCCTCATCTCAGTCCCCTCTGACCCCTGGACACCCCCGAGTCTGCAGCCCTCGGGTGCAGGGTACCCGGGCGGAGGGCCTGGAGCCCGGGATCGGGGTAGCTGGTGGTGTGGGGTCCCCAGCGCCACCACACAAGCCCTCCCTCCAATCCCTCCTGAGGGGGCCTGGCCGGGCCTGGGCCCTGGAATGGGCCCTCCCGGCTCTGCTGTGTGTGTGTGGCCAGAGGGGGCCTGGGTCAGTGTGTCCCACCCCGCCCTGCGGGGGCTGGAGTTGTGGGGGGTTCCACATGACAGAGCCCCCGTCTGGCTGCCCTCATCTCTGAGTGACCATGGGGGAGTCCACCCCACCTTTTGCAGCCTCAGTTTCCTCTCCTATAAAATGCGGATAGAAGCTTCCAGAGTTGCGGGAGGATTAAATGGGAGCATAATGAGTGTGGCGTGGCCCCTCAGCAGCCTGAGGTGGGTCCCTCTGTCCTGTCCCCCAGACCCTCCGCGGAAGGCCTCCCACGATGCCTCGGTGGACATGTGTGAGCTGAAGCGGGACCTCCAGCTGCTTAGCCAGTTCCTGAAGCATCCCGGGAAGGGTGGACGGAGGCCCTCGTCCACCCCCACCAGCCAGTGAGTGTGACTCCCCGCACGGGCGGGGGGCCAGGAGGAGGCAGCCCCAGACCTGGCCCGGGCGGGGCGAGCACCTGGGGTGGGAGGCTGGTTGGAGGCCTTTCCCAGGGCTGGAACGTTCTTCTCATCTTTCCATCTCCTCCTGGAGGAATCGAGATACT